TTGTACTCTCCAATCACCCTTGTACTCTCCAATCACCCTTGTACTCTCCAATCATCACCCTTGTACTCTCCAGTCATCACCCTTGTACTCTCCAATCATCACCCTTGTACTCTCCAATCACCCTTGTACTCTCCAATCATCACCCTTGTACTCTCCAATCATCACCCTTGTACTCTCCAATCATCACCCTTGTACTCTCCAATCATCACCCTTGTACTCTCCAATCATCACCCTTGTACTCTCCAATCACCCTTGTACTCTCCAATCACCCTTGTACTCTCCAATCACCCTTGTACTCTCCAATCATCACCCTTGTACTCTCCAGTCATCACCCTTGTACTCTCCAATCATCACCCTTGTACTCTCCAATCACCCTTGTACTCTCCAATCATCACCCTTGTACTCTCCAATCATCACCCTTGTACTCTCCAATCACCCTTGTACTCTCCAATCACCCTTGTACTCTCCAATCACCCTTGTACTCTCCAATCATCACCCTTGTACTCTCCAATCATCACCCTTGTACTCTCCAATCATCACCCTTGTACTCTCCAATCACCCTTGTACTCTCCAATCACCCTTGTACTCTCCAATCACCCTTGTACTCTCCAATCATCACCCTTGTACTCTCCAATCATCACCCTTGTACTCTCCAATCACCCTTGTACTCTCCAATCACCCTTGTACTCTCCAATCATCACCCTTGTACTCTCCAATCACCCTTGTACTCTCCAATCATCACCCTTGTACTCTCCAATCACCCTTGTACTCTCCAATCATCACCCTTGTACTCTCCAATCACCCTTGTACTCTCCCCAAGGGCTCAGCCTGGTACATACCTAACAGAAAGCACTCAAGAAGCAACTGCCGAATCTTCATCAGCCAGGCATACCTTTTAGACTTTCTCTGTCATTTAAAAAATATATTCCACAAGCAACAACTGCCCCTTTTCATACCGTAATGGAGTTTTAAAATATTTAAAATTGAACTTTTGAAATATTGAAAATTTAAATATTTAAAAAGTGAAATCCATGTGCACAATTTAAATGCACTGGTCTTGCTTTAGAAAAGCTTTTTAATACCATCTGTTTGGAGCATGGGCAACTGCAAGGTTAGTAAATTTTCTCTGTAAAGGGCCAAATAATAAATATTTTTGGTTTTGTGGGCCATGTTTCTCTTCTATAACTCCTCACCACGGCCGTTGTAAAGTGAAAGTGGCCACGACAATATAGAAACGAACAGGCATCTGTTTATTCCCACCATTTTCACAAGAAAGATGTTTCTTAATCGCTTGACTTCGCATTAATAATTTGTTTTTTCTATTTTTCTCTCTTAAATCTATTCTTTCTCTGGAAGTTGAATCAATACTGAATCAAAAATTGAGATTATGCTCTGAGAGACAAATTCTCTTTTCAGAATATCCCTGCTTTAAGCACTCTGGGAAGGTACACTGCCTTTCTCCACTTTAAAGCCTAAGCTTCTTTTAGGTTGGACGAAAATCACTTGCTCTTTGAAACTGTGGTCTCTGCTTTTCTAATCAAGGGGGGCTTAGGCTGCCTTACAGAGCAAGCCCCATAAGAACACTGCCATGGGGAGCTGCTGTTTGCTGAGAGTTTGACACATGAGCCCTTCAGACAAGCAATGTTTGGCTGCTTATGGTAGATTAAGAACAAGATCCTTTGTTTCCAAAAGAAATCAGTTTGTTCTTAAGTTCAAAGAAAACCAACTGCTCTAAGGACGATATGAGGACGTGGACTCCATTCCACCAGCCAATTATCTGCAAACACAGCAGAGGCAAAACCCACATCTACCTAGCAGAGAGAATTAGTCTTGGGAGAGCCCACAGTCCAGAACTCCCCTGCCCAGTCACTCAAGTCCAGCCCATGAAATTGAGGTTTTAAGGGAAATAAAAGTGTTTGTATCGAAATGGGAGTCCACTTAGGTCTCCCCCTGAGAAGCAGTCGCATCAACTACTAGGCTTCCTATTAGCTACTAAGAAATCCAGAAAACAGCACTGGTGGTTTTTCTAAGTGGATAGGGCGTCGCCTTCAAGCCAATCACTAGCCTGTCATTTAAAAAAAGGATAAATAAATGAAAATACCACCATCAAAGCCTAGAGGCTGGGTAGAATTCTGTGTCTGCCAAGTAGCAGAAATGTGTAACATTTTAAGTAGCATCTTAAGCAAAGTTTATAACTGCCTCTGCCAAAAGCTTGTGTAGCACAGATCAGTTGTCAGCCACGCATCTGACAAGGCAGCCGATAGCCAGCCATGTCAGAAAATTCTTCCTGGTGGTTGGAAGGGAGGATGTGTATCTAAAATCAACATTTTTTGAGATATCCAGCTTCTAATCTCTGAGGTCCAGCAGTCTGACAGCTTGAGGTATTTATTCGTATAACAGCTATTTCGTTCCCAAGTTCAAATGCAACAGTCGATAGTAAATTATGCTACAGTCCCCCACCAACCATTCCAAAAGCCAGCATTACGGTTTTCCTTAGAGTTTCACTTCTTAGGTGCTTTTAATTTCTGAAGCCCCTTAAGATTCAACACCAAGTCTTCGGGAGGACAGAAAGTGACAGGAGGGAGAAAGGAGGAGTGCAGGATAGCAGGAAGAGAGGAAAAGGGAAGAGAAGAAAGAAAAACACTAACAGAACTTAAGCGACCCTACCAGGAGACAGATGGAGAGCAGATGGGAGGTGATCCCAGGTGAATACTATTCCAGGTACCTCTAAACAATGCCAGCATGGGACTCCCTGGAAACAAGGAGACAATAACTCAATACAGGAGGAATTCCTCCAGCTGGTACCAACAACTCCTCCAAAACAGGTGCTCAGTTAAAATGGGACTTCATAGAGAAAAAACACATTCAGGGAGGAAGCAACTCCAAATGGGTGTTCTGCCTTAAGTCATAGGAATGGCTGAAGCCTACACGAACCCTGAGCCTTTCTTTTGTAAGGACACCTGCCACTGGGCTTAGGACTCACCCTAAATCCAGGGTGATCTCATCTCAAGATCTGAACTAAATTGCATCTGCCAAGATCCTTTTTCTCTTCCTTTTTCTTATTTGGCATGTAAAACAGCATTCATTCTTTCAAATAAAAATATACACAGCAAAAGGATTACGACAGTCAAACAAGTTACCATATTCATCTATCTCATCACATGGTTACATTATTATTTTTTGTGATGACAGCACTTGTAATCTCTCTTAACCAATTTCCAGTATATATTTCATAACTAAACATCTCAAAACATGTAATATTTCATAGCTAAACATCTCAAAACGTGTAACTTACATATACTCATTTATGGGAAACTATAAGATAAAGGGCTTTTCCTTTATCTTATATCAAACAAGACCCCTTTTCCAAATAAGGTCACACTCACAAGTTCCAGGGGCTAGGACCTAAATATATCTGTTTGGAGGCAACTACTCAACCCACCACAGTTTCCAAACAACTAGAAAAGAAAATTAGTTATTTACTTAAATAAACATGAACTATAAATGCTTTGTTGTATTTGATCATTGAAAGTCCCAAGGTGGCAGGAATTCCTCCAGCTGGTACCCACAGCTATTCCTGTCAGAGCTGGTGTCCTCAGACAAGTTACTAAGCCTGCCTGATCCTCAGTGCCCTTATGTGTGAAACTGGGACCAGCCCCCACCTGGTGGGCTGTTGTACAAGGTGACTCATTTGCACAACATTTAGAGTCATTTAGAGTGTCTGCCACCAGCTAATTAATGTCTTGTTGACAGGCCCTAGTCTTCAACAGCTCCGAGCAATGTGTCCAACAGCCACTCCCAGGAAAGAGCATTCAGTTATTTCTTGATTCAGCCATTATTAGGATGTGTCTCAGGTATTTAGGGAGAAAAAAACAGACTAAAATAGCAGGCTTGCCAAAGGTAAATAATAATCAGGACTTGTGGGAGAATTAAGGACTTGGCATCATGAGAAGAGACTGTCCTATTCAAGATGGTCACCTGTGACCATAGTTCTCCAATTATCCCAAGAATCATCAACCTAAATACATCGTCTGTCACTACCTGGGCACTCCCCAGGACACGAGCTGCATCTTATTTATCTTTTCATCCCCAATGCCTGGCACAGTGCCTGGCACCTGAGTCATACAGTATGAATTGATGGGATGAATGATGACACAAGCCAAGATGCTCAGGAAACCTCAGCTCTGATAATAATAATGTCAATAACTACTGTTTATTGAAAGTCACAATACTAGGGGCTTTACATATACTGAATGGATTAAAAAAGATAATTTCTGTAATCATTTTGGCATGGCTGCTGCTCCAAAAATGTGAGTGATCATCACCACTTATTTTAATCCGCATTCCGACCCATAACGGAGACATTCTTACTCCCATGTTACACAGCAGGAACTGCGGCACAGGAAGGTGAAGTCCCAGAGCGAATACCTGGCAGAGCCAGGATCTGTTAGACTGCAAGGACCTGTGTCCTTTTCCGCTACATTGCACTGCTCCCAATTCACAGTATTCAGCCTTTGATTTAAGGAGCTCACACATCTATAGTCAGCCTAGATACTGAGGGTGTGGAGGGATGCATATATATATTTATATGTATGTATATATGTATACATATGTGCTATATATTTAAGTACACACACATGCAACACCTCAATTGAAGAAATAAACTACAGAGAACAATGAATGGAACAATGGAGGGTCCCAGGGAGCGTGGAGGATTCCCTTGTCCTCAATCGTACTATCGAGGGGTAAAGCATCACATGTTACACTCTCCCAAGCTCATGAAAGCAACACATACAATGTTTTACAAATACCAGATCCTCATCCCAGGCCTATTACTTCCTGTTGAATAATCTTGTTTCTAAGCCAAATGCCGTACAGTGAAGAAAAATGAACTGTGCTTAACATTCACATACCAGTGCTTTTCTCTCTACCTAAATTCCCAAAGAAAGTGACCAGGAAACATCACTGGGGCATTAAGAGCATCCCAGCCATGAACTTACAGGAGGAATGGATGCTGGGGAAGCTTTTGCGGCCCTCGGACACCAGATCGGGGTCACCCGTGCAGTGCATTTCTGAGTTCATCACTCCATCTGGAAAGCAGCGGTAAAAGAAATCGGGGCGAGGTCTACAAAAGACACCATGGACATTTTCAATATAAAATGCTGTCATCACACATGACCCCAAGCTGAACCCCCCCTCCGCCGAACTCCCCACTGCCCCCAGCTCCTTCCTCAGCCCCCTTGGCCGTCAACACTGGAGCTTTCCACGGAACACTCTAGACACAGCCGTTTGGGGAAAAGCTCAGGCTTTGGTGTCAGAAAATCTGAGTTGGCACTCTTGCTTACCACTTACTCACTTTACGACCTTGGGAAGGCCACTTGGTCTCCCCCAGCTTCAGTTTCCACATCTGTAGAAGGGGAAATCAATACCAACCCAAAGGTGAGGTCCTGAGGATAAAGGGACATGAGGTCCTCTGGCCCAGGTTCCTTGTTTGACAAGTGTGAAAGGGAAGGCTTTGTGCCACCCATGGACTAAAAGTTACTTCCTGTCTTGATCTACCATGCCGCTATTTCAGAGGCTGCCTCTGGGATCCAAGACTCCAGGCTCCTCATGTCCCTGTGTCCTGAATGTGGGCGGCCACTTGCCCTTCCTGAAACAGCAGGCCTCACCTTGCCTCACTGAGTGACCTTGAAAGCTCAGTTCCATGATGCAGAGGACACGGTACTCCAGGTTGGCCTCTCTGGTCTAGAGCATGGGAAAGAGACCCCCAGAGGGACATCGAGGTGGCCCTGAGCCTGAAGTCGAGCCTCCTGCAGCAATCACAGCTGCAGTAAGTTCTGAATGCTTACTGGGCTTCTGACATGGTACTAAGCTCCACATACCCATTGTGTCATATAATCCTCAGGAGAACACTGAGGCAGAGGCTGGGGCTGTCTGTATTTTACAGGTGCAAAAATGAAGGCTCTTCATTGCTCAAGGTCACACACAACCAGTAAGGGGCAAAGATGAGCTCTGAACACCAGCAAATGGAAGTTTGTGCCAACACACTTCACCCCACGCTTTCTGCCTCGCTTGGCTGAGGATCCTCACATAGGTGGGTGATGGCCTATCACCTCACATTCATACTCAGCTAATATTCACCAAGCACCTACCATGGGTGAAGCTTTGCTAATGCTGGAAACACGGTGCCTGCTTTCTGGGCACTCCAAGTCACAGTTCACATACGTTGATCACTGGTCCTTCAACTCTATAACTCAGGTAGGGCCTATGCAATCTACCAGAACAGCTGGGGTATGATCTCTCTGGCACTCATCCAGTGTTTCTCCAAGTATGGATGTCCACTTAATGCACCAGAACCTCAGAGGGGCAAGGCCTGACAGTGAGCACTGGTCAGGGCATTGCAGTAGCTCTAAGCACACAAAGTTAAGGGAACACAGCAGAAACAGGCCATGCACTGCCTGATCTTTACCTATCTCCTGCCCCTTCAATGCCTGGCCTACACCCAGTAGATAAAATAAACACTAAGGTTCTGAGAGGGGATCTAATGTGTCCCAGGCCAGCAGACAGTGAGAGTCAGTTAGGTCTTGAATTCAGATGTTTTCACTGCTAATGTTTGCAGATACCAGCTCCTCCCCACAGCAGTCAGAGGGGGAGGAAAGATAAATACAAAACAGAAATCATTTTGCAGGGGCAGTAAGAGAAATGTGCTGTAAGCCAAGGCTCAAATGCCAATCCATATGTTTCATCCTGAAGAGAATGATAAATAAGTAATTATATTTATTTATTAGAGGCCAAAACTGACAAGTTTGTGTGTGTCAGAGTGAGGCCCTGGGATGGCAGTGGAAAAAGCTGAAAACGCCATCAGTGACCACAAGAAAGTATGGTCAGTGGATACTTCCTTGCTACTGATCTCCTGCTTTCTAAAACAGTGGGTTTGTAATTCAAAGGAAAGATCTGTGCTAAGGATGGAAAGCTCAGAGGGACAACGACTTAAGGGAGAAATAGATGAGCTCAAATCTGTCCCATTAGTGTCCTCTGGCCCAGCTTCCTATATAGATGACCTTGATAGTCTAAGTCATCATTTCATTATTCTTGGAACTTACCTTCCCACTATTAATTTAATAGTGTTTGTGCAGACTCCATTCAAAGCAAGAGCCAAGGACACGGCTACAAAACAAAACCAACAGACAGAAAAATAACAAGCTGGCTCTTAGATCAAAATCATCATTATCATTATCATCATCATCACTGTTACATCATAATACTATTCAGCAACCATAGAAATATGAACAAATACTTTAAAAACAGATATGTTGAAGTTGCTAGAGGACTTCAGAGAGAGGCTCATAAAATTCCAAGCCCCATGACATGAAATGTGTCTCTCCTCCTTGACTGAAATGTTCACCATCACAGAGGAGCTCATCTATCTTTTTCTGGCCTGACATGAACAGATTCAATACCACAGTATGTAGAATTTCTTTTACTGGTAGCAAGAAACAACTTTCTTACTTCCTCTTGGCAACCTTCTCAGACATAATTCTAATCAGAGCAGCTGCTAGAATCCTACTGTAGAAAAGGACGTTCCCATTTGGCAATTCTCTCATTATTGGCCCATCACCGGCTGACAGCTGTCCATTTGTTACCACACAAATCACTGTTCCTGCAAAGGTTCAGAGTCCAAAGGCCTCACTGCGTTTGGAGAAGGTCTGCCCAGGCAGGGCTTTTTGCCACCTAAAAGAGCAAGAATTTCTGGGATACATTATTTGACCATACAGAGCACAGGGACTTTCTCCAAGCCATTTGGGAAGACTGCCAGATGCAGCACAGACTGTCCCGAAGGGTACAGGCAACATGAGTCACAGAGCTTTCCCTGCAAAGATCTTGCACCTCTCTTCTGTGGTTTATCGAGAGTGCACAAAAGGCAGAGTCATCACCATCAATGTGATAGAAGGTCAAACGCCTTGCAGAAGCAATAAAAACCTATTGATGCCCCATTCCACTGCTTTGTTGAATAATAAAGCATGTGCACTACGGTTTCCCTTTGGTAAATATTAACTGTTCAATACTAGCTGAGATTTATATAAGAATATAGCAGTGCATGGGGGCATTTTCGGAAAGGAGCTGCCTAGAGCAATTCACAGCCCATCAAGAGAGACAAATGTATTGTTCTACAACCAGAAAGTACTGGGAAATGGCCAACATGGTCACTAAGAGCATGAGCCACAGAGATGGGAACAACCCACCTGCTTTTAACAAGCCATCGGAAGCAGACAGGATGGGAGGGACACATTCAAATGAACATATTTGTCAAAGGGAAACAAATCACCCAAGTGTGAGATGGGGGCAACTGGCCATATCTGAGTGTGGCAGAAAGGAGAAACAGGCCGCAGATTCGGAGGGCAGAGCATGAATCAGCAGCACAGCACTGCCATTAAAATGCTGAGTATGCAATAGGGGTGCAGAAATTGGAACTAAATATGAAGGAACTTGGAAAGATCCACTGATTGCATTCTGAACACACAGACCCTTCCTTCCTCAAATGCCAGCTTCCCTTCTCTCTGGCAAGCTCAGAGCACTGTGGAGAGGCCTCTCTCCAAGAGGGGAGAGAAAATTCCCTGGGATATTTTGCCATATTCTCTCCACAAACCCTGATAATTAACAGGTTGTGATTTTGCTGTGAAATTACTGTGGTCTTTTCTCTGCTAGGTCTGGCCCAGCAGGCTCACTGTTGTATTTTCCCAGTGGAGCTGGACTCATACTCATCCCAGTCCTAGCATGGCCTCTCTGGGAACAAGCATCCCTAGGTGATTCCCTGTCACCCCACATAGATCTTGGTGAACTTCATACACAGCCACATGGATCACTTCCCCAGCCTCTGAGCCTGGTGGGCTTATCGCAGCACAGAGCAGTTCTTTAAAAAGTCTGAAATCGCTGAGCTGGAAAATGCAGAGATGTGATATAACCACCAAAAGTTGGCAACTTGCCTGTCAGATCCAAACACATGAAGGAAACAGAAAGGTGGGAAGCAGGTGATGATATTTAACATGGAGGTCATTTCAGCATTCTAGAAGGAACCCTAACTGCTTAATATTAGCACAACCCTCCAGGGACCAATGCAGAAGCCCCTCACTGATACCAGAAAGAAGGCTGTGCTGGGGTCAGATCCATGAAAGGCTGGACAAACAGGAAAGTAAATGCCCCCCATCAGGAATGCTTGTTCATTAACAATAACCCAGTGGGCCTGGTTCATAAGCGCTGTTCTGTTTCTACAGCACCCCACAGCACTGTGGGTTTGAGTGAAGAGTCAAAAAGACAAACCACACTGTGTCTGATAAAAGAATTCAAAGCAACGTGTCCCATGAGTTGGCTGGTAAGCAGCCTGTACTGAGGACACTACAGGTTATAAGCATTCCAGGGGACTAGAGGGCTTTTGTTGTTACTTTTGTGGTTGTAGGAAATTCAGCACTATCATGCTTTTATAACAGGGTTCTCTATTACACAGTTCTGCAGCCTGAATTCCTAAAAGCCCAGTGCTGCAGGGGGCAAACCTCACTCCCCTCATCCAACGCCAGATGCACAGACATGGCCACATTTACCCGGAAATGAGGGCAGCACATGGGATCCAGGTTTGGAAGCCTGGTTACAGTCTGCTGAAGACATCTGAGTAAAGAAGGGACCTGAGAACTAAACCTCCTGCTTGAGGGTCCTGAATTCCAGACAACACTGGAAAATCTACACCTAGTTTTCTGTCCTTGGCTTTTAAAGATCACCCTCCCCACCTGCTACTTCCAAGGCTTCCTAAAAGTAACGATTAAAAAAAAAAAAACTCTGCACACAATGGGAGGCTGTCATCATTTTCATAGGGCAGGCTCTCATTTATTTAGGCAAACAGAACATCCAGTCATTTCACCTTCTCTGTTAACATACAGGAGACAGAGTATGATGTTGAATTTGGAAATGTCACCCTAAGGGAGATTTAGCAGAGAATGAAAAGTCTGGAGAAGGTAACTGAGCTACTTCCTGCCGTAGCAGCAGCCCCACTCCAAAAGCCAGCCGTCAGTGAGAATCGTAACCATGAAAGACAGTTCTTACCCACAGTCACTTATCTTGAGACTCCATGCCAGGGGAGCCACTAGAATAAAGCGTGAACTAAAGGGATTTCCATGTGAACTGAGAGGGCTCCCAACAGCACTTTTTGGAGACCACGGTGATATCCATCCCAACACTGCCCAGCCACTCAAGCCATGTGTGGAGGGACACCTACCTGTGCCCTCCTTGGAGAACCTGACCCTTTTCTCACCTCAGGTGAGGAGACCAAAAGCCCAAGCCACACAGGGCAGCCTGCAGTACACACCTGACCTGAGGGAGGGCATCAACAGGCTGGCCAGGGACTCACAGCTTTTGTGGCCAGGCTGGAGAAATGAGCTCAGTCAGAGGCTCTGTCTAGAACGTCTGGACCAAGAAATACAGTGAAGCTTGGTGGTGGGCAACAGGCAGACAGATTTGGGGCAGAAGCCACCATCACTGCAGGCCCAAGCCTCAGACAAACCAGAGACATGGGGCAGCAGAAATAAAGTTGAGGCAGAGGATTCAGGCCGGCAGTGTAGGGAGAAGAAGGAAGGCACGTTGCAGCTGTCATGAGCCAAAAAGAGGGCTCCCCTCCTGATGGCCCAGCTCCCCATTCCAGTCCCCATGAGGTGCCTCTGAACTTTTCCCCCTTCTTCTTGGATGTCTGTGAGATTGCTTATCAGAGCCCTGTACTTAAACCCCTAATTTTTTTGAGCTGATTTGAGAGGGATTCTGTTCTTTCAACTAGACAGGGCCTAACAGAAGCTGGTTATATAGGAAGCGCTCTCCGTGCAGCTTTAGGGGAGAAGCTGCTTGTTCTCCCACACCCCCTACATGCAGCTCTCACTCTCACTTCCTTACCAAGAAAAAGAGAGGACTATATTTTGCTACATTTTCATTTCCCCAAAGCACAGCAATTAACAAACATACCCTAAAGTGAAGGCTCTCATTTTCCAGACTTATAAACTCATTGAATGGTAAGTCCATATAACACAGCCAAAACAAAATTTGGGCTGAGGATTTGGGCAACTTTTAGGTGATATGTCAAAAAAAATCAACCTGATTTGGTTTTGCTCATGGTCAAAAAGCTAAAAACATGGCTATGGGGTAGTTTATTTTGTTTGCTAAACAAGCCAAGTAGTTTTGCCATCTCTTAATGCTGTCATTTACTCACAATATGATTAACATGAAGACCAGAAAAATACATTTAATCCTAAAATGTCAAACTCTTGTCCCATGTAGACATGGCCCAGTTTGGGAAGAATTTATAACAAGAATGTTATAATCAATGTCAAAGATCATAGCACTTTTCACATAATAATGAGCACTTAACTACCAAAATGTCCTCAAACTAAAGGTAAGTCATGGAGCTTGTTTGTAGTATCTATTTTATTTTACACTCGCATTTTCCCATTTTTGCTTCTACCCCACGGTGTTTGGTCAAAGAGTCTGTGGTCGATTTCTGAATTGTCCATATTGTGGGTCTATTAGCCAAAACTCTGAGACTGGACAGTTGTAGTAACAAAGTTTCAGATTTATTTTGCCTTACTGCCAAGAGCTACCCGGAGTCTGCGCCTGAGCAGCACAGCTCTCTGGTGTGTATGGGATGTTGTTAGCATTCAGCACAACGGAGAGCAACAGTGGGCGGCCTCTGAACGTCCTTTATTTAGGACTGCACATTGGCTCTTCTTTTGGGCTTAAAGTTTATCTTTATGTTATCTCGTTTCTCCCCAGCTTAATTTGACCAAAAGAAAAAGCCCATTGAGTGTAACTGAGATTTCTTAAATGTAATAATCTAATTAAGGTCAGCCCCATTCCCTAAAGCAGGAACTGTGAATACTCTACCTAAGAAGGCTTCCTTAATTTCAGTCTTGTCTGTTCGCCGGATAATTTTCACCACACAAATAACAGCCAGGGGTGTGAGGAAAGAAATTGCCTGGAAGAAATAACAAACAATCCCTTATGAGGACATCAGTTTGCTGTCAGAAGGGCTGACTGATCATTAGTTCCCGTTAGCTTCATTTAGACTCCCTGGTTGAATAATCTTACTGAACTCCTGACCTCAAACAAACAAACAAAAAAATGGATGATGTATGTCTGTACTTAGAGACTACACAGACTTTAAAAATGGAAGATCTGATTGTAGGTTATAATTGATTTGTAATTGCCAAGAGCCATGTTTAAAGTGGTGGCTTTTTAAATGGAAAAGAATAGTCTATAATTATGATGAATCATGTTTGCCAGTAATTCCCCTCATGCTCTCCTCTGTGGAAGGGTGAAGAACCCTTGGCCTCCCACTCCCATCTCTCTGGAAACATGAGTGCATGTGGGACTCACTTAGAGTCAATCAATTCATTCCCTTTTGCTGTTCTTTTGTGGAATATTTATCTCTTCTGCAAAGCAGAGGTTAGTCCTTTTGCATAAAGTCTCTCCTCTTCCCTTCCTCATCCCCTTTCCTCCACACAGACTTAATGAGTTAAACTGGTGAGATTCAGATGCCACCAACATTCATTACAAAAGTTACTGTGAGGAGGAACCATGCTAGGTACCATCAAGTCCAGGAGCCTCTTATATCCTCATGATAGCTCTGTGACTGCCTTCTCCAGGCTCAAGGACTAGGTGATGTGCCTGGGAACACACGGCTGGAGAGGGGCCAGGCCAGGATTTGGGGACAAGGCTTCGCTTCCCATATTGTTTATTCCAGTTTTCCTTAATTAGTAACTTATTTTTAAACATTCTACCAACCATATAAAAGGTATTTATGTTACTCCCTTACAACTATAACATCTCAGGATAACAATATCAGAAGAGATTGAACATCTCACAAATCCAGAATTGGCCTAGCAGTCAGTAGTGGGAGGGCTGGGGTATGACTGTTGATCAATAGTGTTCATAATTCTGGAAATCTCCCTCTTTGCTCTAGTAAAACATCACTTTTTGGAGAGGGGCTTCCTGATGCATGGCTGGAAAATGCTCTTCTGTTATAAAAACAGAATCCACCCAAATGCATGCAGGCTTTTAAAATTATTTGAGATGCTCTACACTTTTACTACAACCAGACTGCTAGATCTCAAAACATCTTGGGGACTCCTCTTTGGGAACTGTCTTCAGAGATCAATTGTATGAGACATGAAAAAAATTCTGTCCTTACTTCCCGCCATTTCTTTCTGACCAGAAGTGGCAGTAACCAGTCTGATGATTCAGCTGTGGCCCTGAATGATTTGGACTGTTTAAAAATCAAATAAGCAGGTCTTGCCACCACGGAGGGTATTAAGGCGTTAAAAGGCAGATGCATGAGAGGAGATTCAGAACCACTGCAGAGAAAGCAGAGGATTCCCCTGCAGCCTATTCAGAAGGGCCACACTCATGAGTTAAGAGGTCCAGTAAGCCTGTGAAAGCTGCCATAAGTTATTGGGCAGTTCTCATACCTAAATAACTACAGGGCTTGTTAAAGTGCTGATTTCCTCAAATACGCTCATATAGCAGGTCTGGAAATGCACCTTTTTAACATCATCTCAAATGGTACTGATGCCGATGATTGAGAATTATGCCTTAGATTTTTGACTCACACATTTAGTGCTTAAAGAGCAATAACTGAAGCACCACTTGTGAAGTCCAATGTTATGGTCAAGGCCAAAGAAGTCCTTGTTTCTCCAAATCCAAATATGAAGCCTACCAGCTTCCCTTCCTGTTTTCTGTCCCTTTACGCACTGCATACAGAGCAGGCAATGTGCTCCCAAATAGGAGAAAGCAACTCACTGAACAGTGGATGACCCAGCAATGACTCCACCAAGTCAAGCTTTACATAGGAGAACAACATGGTTCTGAAGGAAACATTTCAACGCAATCCCAGCTGGTACAATCTAAGGTTAGGCAGAAATGAAACGACCCCCCCAAAAAAATGTGAGTTGGGATGACTTTCCCAATGAGGCTTCCAAAGGAAATTCCAGAGCAGAAAGTCACTGCCCACATAGGAGATGTGGGTGCCAGGTGGGAGGCCCTCAGGATCAAGGCCAGGTGTGCAGGCTGAAATCATTAGATCTGCCCAATGACTCCAGGCTAGTGGCTGGATGGCCCAGCGGTCTCCTTCAGAACTGCTCCCTGCCTCTACTTGCCTCTTCCTCATTGGATTCTCAGCCCTACTTCCCCAACAAGACTGGACTTAATTTAACTCATGTTATAACTTTCCCAGGTAGATGCATATGGGTATCTTTTCTAGGACCACTATCAACTGCTCTTGAGCCAATGCTAAGCACCCAGGAGGGCCCAAGGCTCCCCACCTCAAGGGCTTATCAGGCAAGGGAATGCAGCCTTCAAAGTGCTGTGGCTCCCACCCCAGTGTGACTGGAGCAGAGATGTCTGTGTGATTGCATGATGTGGCTTGTGTCCCCTCTCATCCTAACAGCAATGGTCCCCGGGCTCATTTCTTCTTCTTGGAAGTGTATCTGCCATATCCTTGGGCAGCACAGACCACGAATCAGGATGGATAGAGACATAGTTACATGTACATTCACTCCCTGGTGTCAAACATTGTTTAACTGAGAGTTAGAATTAAGAGATGAACTCTAGAAGCCAACACATTAGGAAAAAAACTTCCTCTTGGGGCAAAACACCTCTGAACTGGGTAGAAGGAAGAATGAAGAGAGAATAATAACCCCATCACCCCACTTTCACTCAGCAAAGCAGACTGCATCAAAGCCAGTGCACATGCATTCCACTCTTCAGACAGGCCATTGGTAGCTGCGATTGTGCTGCCTGGGCCAGTGGAGCAGGTGAAGGTGAACAGAGGGACGTGAGATGGACATGGCCTCTTGTACCTCCACACAGGGGCAGAGATGGAGGAAAAACATGGGCAAGCAAAACCCCCCTTGGTATTGTTTCTCTTCTGTTAATGTTTCCATGGCTAATCTTAAAAGAATCAAATCCTAGGAAACCCTAGGATGAGCCCAGGGTAGGAAGATGGGGGAGTGGTCAGTGCTTATTTTATTAAATGGGACCTGAGAGAAAACCAAGAATTCCAGCCAAACACTGCTGCAGAATTCAGAAAACATACTGAGCCCTTCTTGGACTTGAGTTTTGCTCACTTGCTAAGTGTATGGGGCTGCTGAATTACTTACCAAGGTTAGAATCACAAAGGCAAACATATACTGAGAACTTACTAAGGACCGTGGTCTATTCTAGGCGCCCCATGAAAATTAACTCATTCAATTCTCACAGCAATCCTAGGTGGAAAAGGCTTCTTACTTAATACATAGGAAACCAAAGCATAGAGAAGTTCAACAGCCTGCTGGAAGGCACATAACTAATCACAACTAGTCAGTCGCACAACTGAAAACATTATCTCCATTGTACCAATAACCAAACTAAAACTCAGAGAGATCAGTGGACACTGGGAGCCACGGCACTTTGAAGGCTACATTCCCTTGCCTGAGAAGCCCTTGAGAGGTGGGGAGCCTTGGCCCTCCTGGGTGCTTAGCATCTATATTAAGCTCTGTACTTTCAACCACAATGTTGGAGCAGACTGGACTTAATTTAACTCATGTTACAACTTTCCCAGGTAGATGCATATGGGTATCTTTTCTAGGACCACTAGCAACTGCTTTTGAGCCAATGCTAAGCACCCAGGAGGGCCCAAGGCTCCCCACCTCAAGGGCTTCTCAGACAAGGGAATGCAGCCTTCAAAGTGCCATGGCACTAGAAAGTTAACATTAAATAAAACATAGTACATGCTTTTTTCCAGGACATAGATAAGCCGTGGAAATTTTAGTGACAGCTGTCATGGCTTAAGCACCTACTATGTGTTAAGGACTTTCCTCACACTTTCCAATCTTCTAACTACTCTGTTGTGGAAAACATTATCACCATTGTACAAATAACTAGACGAAAACTCAGCGAGATCAGTGGATACACAAATGCATACAGCTACTGGGACCAAGACTCCCCAGATTGCACTGCCATGCTCCTGGATTGAAGTCCTGAATCTGGATGATTCCCCTAGCCCACAAGCTTTATTTTACAGGTGGGGAAACTGAGGCTGGAAGAGATTTATACATTGAACACCATCTTTAAAGTTACTAATTGTACTGCACAGCTCCCACATAAAGAGATAGTGCATGTATCATTAAACAAGATCTGGTAGGTGGCTAGTTTTGTATGTAGCTTATTCCACAGGCTGGGAAGGCAGAGCCCTGTGCAAAAAAAAATATGTGGAATGGACTCAGATTAAGGAGAGGTGGGTTCAAGCCCCCAGCTCTGATACTTACCCATTCTTTGTCCTTGAGCAAGTCACTTAACCTCTTTGATTCTCACTTTCCTTATGTATAAAACGGATATGATGATAATAATAACATCCATGGCAAGTATTATTGGTAGGATTTCAATTCACTAACAGTTATGGAATGCTGATTAGGTACCATGCACTAAGTGAAATGCCATAGGTCTGTTACCCCCATTTGATGCTCTCTGCAGCTTGATGGGGCATGCTCTTAAAGACACCTTTTACAGATAAAGAAAGTAAGGTGCTGAGAGGGGAGGTGATCTTCCAAATTTCCATAGCTAGTGAGTGGCAAAGCTGGGAGTTGATCACTGGTAGACCACTGTGGAGCCCATACCAATTGCCCACCAACAGGGTCCAACAGAGAGCTAGTGTCCAGTAAATGCTGGTTGTTGATTAGTGTTTCATTATTTTATGGAAAAGACTGTTAAAAGGGTATCAGGGTCTTGTCAACAGACATATCAGATTAAAGCATTTTTAGTTTAAGCCCACCTGCACCCTTGGATCTGAGTACTGTGCACCTTTGAGTAGAAGAAGGAGGTTGGGGAAAGAAGAGAGAGCCTAATTATCTCAGGTACACTTACCATACCCTAAATGACCAAGTAGAGTATGGGGCATCTACCCATGAATCAACACAGGAAGGGCCGCCAATCCCTGGCCAGTGCTGCGCCTAGAAAATGGGTCATCCCCACATGCTGATGCAAGGCACCATGCACCATGCTGCTTGGGGCATTTCTGGGAAGCCAAAATGTGGGGCAGTGTGTCAGAGCCAGGAGGGCATAAGGACGCCAAGGACTTCTAACAACCAGAAGGGATCAGAGCCAGAGCAGCCCCGATGTGAGGGTGTTAGGCAGAGAGGAGTTTGTCACTAAGGTTCATTCACATCAGACAAAACAATGGGCCGAAAGTGCCTTCATTTCTGGCTTTTGACAGAAAGGTGTGCTGCAAAGTGATTATAATGACAACTTTAGGACAGCAGACACCTGGAAAAGGCCCTGCTGTGGGTAAACAATTACATCCTGTCAGAGATAAAACAGCTGTCTAAGACTCTTAAAAAGAGCCTAAAAATTAAACTGTCTATCATGATCCAGGCCTGTCTCTTTTCCTTCCTTCTTCCTCCCCAAAATGACTTTATTTCTGTCTTCCATAGAAGCATCCTATCCCAAAATAAAAAACCCTGGTATCAGATCAACACAGTATCTATCAGTGATATTCCATGAGAATAAATCTTCTGGACATATCACGACCAAAGCAAAAAGAGAAGAGGGCAAAGAACAGGCTGTGGGTGGATTTCTTTTGGAAGCCAAGGGAAAAAAAAATCGCAAAACCTGTCAATCCTTAAACTCCTTACTGGGTCTTGCCTATTTCTCAAGGCTTTTTAGTGATGCTGAACTGTCCACCTTGTGTTCATATCTGGGCCCCTCCCTGGACTAGAAACCATATCTTATTCAACTTTGCTCACCGCAGGTGTTTCATAATCATCCAGTGAATTAGGTAATAGTTAACCAATCCGAAGCTGCCCTCAGTCTGGCTCTATCCCTGCCCCCTTCTTAGCCCTTACCCATAGATACTCCAAACAAACTCCTATTCGCAGGACCCACATAGCCCTCATTCTCCTTCTCTGCCTTTACACGTCTCTCCACCTCACCAGTCACCAAAGAGGCATCATAGCAGAGTGGCTCCAAGAGAGAGTTTGCACTCACAGCCAGCACCTAAGTTCTGCTCCAGCCACTGATGGCTGTCTATCTCAAACAAGTTGCATAATTTCCCTAGTTTTGTTTTCTCCACTGACCTTCTGAGATTAACAAAAGTGCTGACCTCAAAGGATTCTGAAGATTAATTGCGATGCTCTTTAAAAAGAGATAAACACAGTCCCTGAATTCAAGAAATGTTCACTGTTGTAGATGATGATGGCTTTGATAATAACGATAATAAAGATGAAGAAGAAGTTCCCTAGAACTTACCTGAGCCTCTCCTCTGGCCCTTTTCAGATTCCATTTGTATTAGAGTACCACCCTAATGTGCCAGGGATCCTGGAGGGTCCCTGGGGGTACACCCCAAAACTTATTGGACTTCCCATCCCCTATAACCCTTATGGTTTTCTTCACCCATAGCAGGCTCCCTGGAAATGTCCCATGAATGTACAAAGAGACAACTACTATAGACAAAAGGAAGTATAGCAAAAAGCAACAACCAATACCAATTAAGTTGTCCTACACAAAGAAAAAATAGGTTTTTAAAGATGTTCTGATAAACCCTTCACACTCAGCAGGAAACCACGGCCTCTTTTGAATAAGGAAGCAGACTTCCATAAAGGTGGCTGACTGCTTGGGCATATCCCAGAAATGCTAAGCAAGACCTTTCAGTGCATCTGAAAAGAATTCTCAGCCAATCTCTCTGGTCAACAGGAACACTGGGTTGTCAAGGGGAAAAAGCTCTTGGAATCAAACAGCTCCAAGTACACCCAGCTTTCAGGGTGACAGACATCACCTGAGCTAATGGTGCCACAGACAGCAACAGCACAAGTTAGGTTTCCAGTAACATTATGTACTTCATCCCCTAGCCATTATTCTGTTAATTTTCTTGTTATATTTGCCCAACTGGCTCCTGTAACTTGCACACACATGACTCTACAGGCATTAATTAACCAATTAAAAAAAACTAAGTCAAAACCAGCTGCCTTTAAAACACACTTTGAAAGTTAGAAAGTTCGCCTTTAGATTAAAACATTCCAACCAAAATTAAAGGAGACCCCAGGATTTTGTTTACATAGTAAATAAGAAAAATTTGAGCTTCAAAGAAAATCAAGCCATTTTCTACATCAGTGAAAACGGATGTCCTATTACCATTTCTTCTACTAACATCTAAATTTTTGTTTTGTTTTGTTTTGGTTTTGGTTTTTCATGGAGTCTTGCTCTGCTGCCCAGGCTGGAGTGCAGTGGCACGATCTCAGCTCACCGCAACCTCTGCCTCCCAGGTTCAAGCAATTCTCATGTCTCAGGCTCCTGAGTAGCTGGGACTACAGGCATGTGCCACTATGCCCAGCTAATTTTTGTACTTTTAGTAGAGGTGGGGTTTCGCCGTGTTGGCCAGAATGGTCTCGATTTCTTGACCTCATGATCCTACCACCTCAGCCTCCCTAAGTGCTGGGATTATAGGCATGAGCCACTGCACCTGGCCAACATCTAAAGGTTTTAAAGGACCAGAAGTGTACACATAATGCCTTATACTAAATTCTTAAAACCCAGGAAAACAAATCTTATTTATGGGGTGACAAATTATTTTTCATCTTTGTGTAGTATTATAAATTTATCTACTGCTTTCCTTGTATTTTTATGGAATTGTACTAAATCATGTGACTAAATGAATGAAATTCATCAACTACTATCAATGAAATAAAAGATTGAACTTATTTAATTAGGAGAATAGAGGGCATGAATCAGTATGTGTGGCTGAATATCCTTCTGTTCTCTGAGAACCCCAGTGCTGAATAAGCTCTCTACTGCCTAATTTCTACCACCGCCAGCATGCAAATTGCTCCGTGTTATTTGTGTCTGTAGCCAGAATATTTGTGGCATTTGTATCTAGACTTCAAAACAATCCATTATCATAAATCTAGGACACAGCCACAGATTTCTCACAACATCGGGTATGAACATTCATCTCCAAATTGTGTTTTTATAACACATGAAATGTAAAATGTTATGAAAAATAGGAGTTACTGATAAATAGAAGCATCTCCCTATTAAAGCCATTGAGTAAACTCATTATACATACACTGATTCCTTTATTTCTAGGATTTATAGAAGACTTGAGTTACAGCAGAAATGAAAAAAGCCTGATTATAGTAGTCATGTGCTAGTAAATCCCTACTCACAACCACCCTAATTTGTCAATTTCCCTAAGATTTATAAAAATCCAGTTTACTTTCCAGCAGAAAAGTAACTATTAAGAAGCAATTAAAATGATACGTTAATGCTCACTGGCATTATGGGCATTTCCAAGAGTTTGCAAAAGAACAGATCTCTCCAATCATCACTAATTAACGAAATTTTCTCTTTAAATTCAGAGGGATTTCTTTCAAAATATAAAAATGTCCCCTGTGTGTCTATGAAGTTTCTGGAGCATTTCCCAGACAGGCACGAGACACCATGGCAGGTCAACAGGAATAACATTCAAGCTGCTGGGAGGCTGCCCATCTAAAAGTCACATTATTGTTCCACAACAAAGAGGAGCTTAAATATTTCCTCTGCTCCAGAAAGTTTTGATGGCGATTCTCCAACTCTCCAGGGCTTCATTAGCATCAGCAAGGAGTCCCAGACACTCTGCCCCCAACCTGCAGGGGAGCCTCTTGGCTGACAGCTGACCTCCAAGAGCTGGCTGCTAGAACCTGGTGCTGTGCTCACTAGCAGTGTGATATTGGTCAAGTTCCCTCATCTCTCTTGGAATGCAGTTGCATCTGTGAAATGTGGACAATAATGACATCTTCCTCACTGGGATGCTGGGTGGAATTAAATGAGACCATCATTTCTTAAACTCTCAGCCACAAGTCTGGCACAGAGGCATTGGGGGTGGGGGAGGCAAAATTAATCCCAATATATCCATCAGCTCTATGGGTGCTTGCCCATTTATTCCAGAAGGAAAGAGACACAAGACATTCTCTGGAGGTTGAAGCACAGGGTGGTCTTATTAGTGGCCAACAACTGATCAGCTAAAACTCGAAAAGAGGTTAGCAGAGCTATCTGGGTACCTTCCTTTGGCAGAATCAGGCTTATCCTAAAAAGAGAGGGGACAGACAATTCTTGTTACTGGCTTCTAGTCTTCCTTTACTGTGACTCAGCATAGCCCAGACAAGCAAGTCCTTTCTCATTCCACAATATTGGGCAATGACTACTCACATGACCAAGCAGCTCCTATCATGATGTGGAATTGGATTTTAATTTGATGGGCTGCTTACCTCTTTCTCTCAGGTTACCCACTGTCTTCAGGGTTAGAAACACAATGATGAAAACCCATTTGTTTCATCTTTGAGAGAGTGGTCAAATAAAGCATGAAATCATGGTACTTACAAACATGAGGCGAGTAGGTATGTTATCTGATTGCACCAAAGGATTTTTATACAGCCAGATCTCCTCTGGCTGGATGACTCTCTGGAACGGATCCAAAAACTCTGTAAAACTGAAACATAAAAAGAAAAGTACATGAAGGCTGAGCATTCTGCTGCTGCAGGAAGTTCCCTAGGAGCCGCCCCCCCCACCACCACTCCCACCACCTCCTAAGCATTCTCATGGGGAGGATCCAGCCTGCTGGGGAGGGGGAAATAGACAGACCCTGCTGTCAGTTCTCAGCTAGCTCAAAGGCTTGGGAAGGACTGAAAGAATCACTGAGACTCTGCAGACTCTTTCATCACCACCTGCCAGCAAGTACCAGTTCCATCCAGAAGGGAGTAGCTTTTTATGTACAAAGACTCTAAGGACTCAGGGTTCCAAAGTAAACTGGAAACTGAAGTCAGAATGGTGGCTAAGACTGGGGTGAGGCCAGAGCAGCAGCATTGTCTTTTGAGAATAAAACAGGCTTGAGGTGGAACCTAAGTGAGGGAGTAACTGGCTCAGCTGCCCATGTGCTGTCTTCACTAGTTGGGCAATGAAAAGCAGTCACTGCCAAGAGAAAAACTGGGGGGGAAGAAAGGGGCAGAGACACAGGGGTTTGCTTTTTTAGATCTCGGCCATTAGGGCACCTCCCAGCTCTCCAGCCAACCTTCACCTGAGGAACTAGGTTCAGCACCACTTCAGATCAGTTGGAGAGAGCAGAAGAAGCCAGGCCATTTGGGGCTTTAAGTGCCAGGCTAGAGGATTTTGATTTTGAGCCAAGGAGAGGTTTGGTGAAAAAGCATGGAATGGGAATTCCAATTCAAAATGGCAGCCCTGGCCATGGTAAGGTGGGACTCAGAGGAGAGAATAGAAGGCAAGGTGGGAGGTGCTGGGGTTGTGGCAGCTGTCCCTGGAAGAGAGGCTAGCAGACTGGAAAGGAAAAGGACAGCATGGAACACCTGTGGGCAGGAGTGGCTGAAGCCGATTCCTAGGCTTCTGGTTTGGGCTTCTGGGAAAAGGAGTCCCACGTTCCAAGATGAGGAGTGCAGGGGAGCTGGAGAGGAGAAGCTCAGCTTTCTCCTCCTCTAGGAAACCCTCTAGGGTGGCTGGCGGTCTAGGTTCATCCATAACTTTTCCAGTTTTAGCACTGAAAGTCCTATATCCTAGGAAACTCCTCAGTCTTGAGCAAACCAGAACAACTGGGTCACCCTAAAGCTGTCCCAGTCTCTAGACAGAATCCCACAGCCCTGGTTTCTATCCCAAATTTGGGACGTTGTACGAGCATGATCTGTTCGCAGCTTCAGCTCCCCTGTGAGGGTGTGAGGGCAGGAGCCACTTCATGACTGTCACCTCAAAGCCCAGTAGCACAGCTGGGCCACCGTAGGCACTCAGAGACCACAAAAGTTAACATCTTTTTGGGAATTTGAACAGATGACACGGAAAGTACTCTCACTTTGATCAGCCTGACTCAATTCTATCATGTATCTAAGATACCTAAAATCTACCCATCTTTCATGTCTCTCTCCCTGTCTCTCCTTCCCTCCTTCCCTTCCCCCTTGTCTCCCTGCCTCCTCTGTGAGGTTTTACATCCTAGAAGTTTGTGTATTTACGAAATCTGGAGCCTCAGTAGAAACAGTGGTGCCCATGACTGTTCTGCTCAGCACTGGGCCCCCAGTGCCTCTGCCTGGCACACAGGCATCACTTGGTAGCTATTTGCCAGATGACTGAACAGACCCCTGCAGTGGCATCATCACAGAATCCAGCCAACCCTTCACCATCCCTGAACCTGGAGAATTTATACTGTAGAATCCCTGTTGCATTCCTTCACTGGGGTGCAAGTTACTTCTGCTATCAGCCCTCCAAACCTTCTCTACAGCAGCAGGAAGGAGCACCCTGTATGGGCATCAGGAAACTGCTCTCCACCCCAGCTCTCCAACTGAGCTGCTCCATGCTGTGGAGCAAGCTGCTTCCCCTCCCAGGGCCTCTGCAATGGGGAAGGCCAAACTAAATCAGAGACTTCAACTTCAGATGGGTCAGAAGTTTCTGGAAAACACCCTACCATAGATCTAAGACTCCACGTGAATAAGGTATGGTAACGTGGATTTTAAACACTCCTGTAGGTGGCCCTAATGGGCCAGGAGTCCCTAGCATTGAACTAAACGATACCTAACGGTCCCAAACTTTTGAATCCAAGGACAGGACATTCTGTAACTTAACTCTTCTCACTAACATCTCTTCCACCCACATCAGGACAGGCTCTCGAGTCAGGCCAGCAGCATTGAAAAACCCAGCTCTAGCTATGTGGCACATGGTGAGTCACCTAACATTTCTATGCCCCAGTTTCCTCATCTCTAAATAGATACACCTTACAGAGTTGGAATGAAAGTTAAATAATGAAATATATATGTAGTGCCTGACAGAAGAGAAACAAAAACTAGAAATGTATTACTATTATCATTTTACTCTAGCCTATACCTACATATTTTTACTAGACAGTTTTCAAGCTCTGTTTGATTTTGTGAAAACCTACTTCCTGCCCCAAATGTTTTTAAGACATGAAATAAACTGAAATGAAATAAAATAAATTGTGTTTGAAGGATGTTTTTAAGAATACGTAGCATACCTATGATAACTAAAACTTTAGAATACTCCAGTTTCTGTAGCTATATAACAAATTCCTCCAAAGCATTTTATTTTGCTCATGAATTCGTGGGTCAGGAAATTGAGAGGGGCTCATTACCTAGGCAGTCCCCACTTAGCATCTCTCATGTGGGCACAGTCAATGGCTGTCCACTGACCAGGCTGTCAGCTGGAACCCCTGCTGCTGTTTTTCTTATAACAGGACACAGTCTCTCCCCTCTTACCTCAACTTCCTATTCTGGGGGTGGGGGAATCAGTGATACTGGACATTGCTAGTTGCTGTGTTATGGATTTGAGTAGCATTTGGCTATAAAACAACCTTGCTGGGAAAAGTGTGAGGGAGAGGACCTCTTCCCACACACACCTTGAGACAGATCCCAATGAGTCAATGATCTTGTTTGTAAGAAAGAGATTCTGTTGGTTGAGTGCATAAAGAGAAAGGTGGGATGCCCTTCACATTATCCAGCTTAGCTAGCATTGCTAACCAACTGTTGCAAGCTCTGAAAATAAAAGATCTTGAACCCTCACCCCACCCCTCAAAAAAGAAAAACCCTTCTTCTCTAGGACTATGGTCTCGGGGTGGTCAGAATTATTCATAGCTACGGGATTCCCCCAAAGCAGGTATCCCAGAGAACAAGGCAGAAGCTCCGTAACTTTTACCAGCCTAGTTCCAGAAGTCGTGTAGTGTCATCTCCAGTTAGAAGTGAGTCCTAAGGTCAGTCTAGATTCACGGGAGGGGAAATGACTCCACCCATTGACTGGGGTATGGCAAGTTCTTACTAGAAAAGCAGGTGGATGAGAGATATGGCTATAGCCACCTCTAAAATATACTCTGCCACCCACTGGGATGGACACTATGATGGCCACACAGCCCCCACTTTGTGAGACCCCAGAATCTTGACTCCTATTTCTTCTCACACAGCCAGCCACAGAGCAGGGGGACCAGGCACACCACAGAGCACCTTTCTTCCTCATCTTGTTTGTCTTCCAGGTTTTAACATCCTCATAGCAATTTTTCTAAAGCCTGGTGGACCCAGCCTTTTGCACAATCCCTCACCCCACCCTGAGTAGCTGCAGCCAGAACACATCTATCAAGCAAATTATATCCTCTGGGAGCAGCAGTACTAAGAAAGATCGATGTCCCTTCAGTCATGCTCCAGCCACTGATGTTTGCCTCAAAGAATGCAGACAGTGGAGCTAATACACAGAGGACCAGGGTCTTAATAAAGCTTAAGGATCTTAACAGGGACAGAGTTGGGCACACAGGGGAATGTGAAGTCTTGGAGGCATTAAAGGTGTTCATTCTGAAGAGAGGACATGTCCGGGCCTGGAAACATCCTTCTACAAGCTCTTAGGAAGTGGGTTGGAATCTCAGAAACAGGAACCCTGCTTCTAGGGAAGGGGTGAAGGGATGGTCTCCAGCAGTGCGTTAGGTCAGCAGTTCCCAAACTTTAATATGTCCAGGGATCACTTGGGAGCCTTGTGACTGCAGATTCAGAGAGAGGAAGCTCAGAAGAGACAAGAGAGCTAGCATTTCCAGCAAGCTTCCCGGGGGTGCCTCACTGCCAATCCGTAAATCAAACTTTGAGTCACAAGAGGCCAGGGCAGCAGCATCATGTGGGATCTGGTTTAAAATGCAGAATCTCAAGCCCCACCCCAGCCCTAGTGGATCAGAGTCCGCATTTAACATGATCCCCAGAAAATCTTCTCCATGACTGTGGTGGAAGGTGGGTCACATCCATATACTACATTGGTGCAGAAGTAATTTGGGTTTTTGCCATGCTTTAAAAAAAAAATGGCAAAAACCACAATTACTTTTGCACCAACCCAATACAATCTAAATCTAAACCCATCTCACAAAGCCATTAAAATCATCTAAAGCACCACTTGTGTCATATAGGGAGAAAAACACAGAAAACAAAATGAAACCCCCAAGGCATGGCAACCTGAAGCCATTCAGTGTGGAGGAAAATCACCCTGCCAGCCTTAGCATCAGCGTATTCCTGGCCAGTGCAATGACTGACGTCCTGGAGTTTTTCAAGAAAAGACTAAAGGAGTTGCAGCAACTCTTTGACCACCAGAAGGTGGGTAAAACCATTTAGTTTACTTTCATTTCCAATAAATACAGAACAGCTAAAAATACGTTAACACCCAGAAGGCTCTGACAAGTCCAACCATGCAGCGCTTCTTTACGGATGGGGGTCAGGCCTGTTGTTCTCACTGTGAAGGCCTTTCCCCATCTCGGCAAAGCCCTCATTAAGAATAGAAGAGCTGGCCGGGCACAGTGGCTCATGCCTATAATCCCAGCACTTTGGGAGGCTGAGGCGGGTGGATCACGAGGTCAAGAGATCGAGACCATCCTGGTCAACAAGGTGAAACCCCTTCTCTACTAAAAAATACAAAAATCAGCTGAGCATGGTGGTGTGTGCCTGTAGTCCCAGCTACTCG